ACCAGATAAATGAATTCATCAGAGTTTCAGGATATTTGGTTAGCATATAAAAAAATCAATTGGATTTTCATATACCAGCAACAAATATTTGGAAAATGAAGTTTAAAATTATCCTCTTTACAATAAATATGTAAAATGTATGAGACTTCTACAGTTCATGAAAAACTACAGAACAACTCTGACAGAAACTTAAAAGAAAAAGTAGATGAAGAGATATACCATATTCATGGATTAGAGAATTCAGTATTGTTAAATGTCAGTTCTCCTCAAACTGATCTTGAGATTAATTTTAATCCTAATCCAAATTGTTCCTGTTTTCTTTGTAGAAATTGAAAACCTATTATAAAATTTGTATGGAAATATAAGATGGGGCAATCTACTTCCGTAGTGATACTGCCTCGGAAACCCAAGGAGGAGTCGCTATGAGTCGGGTCCGACTCGATGGCACATAGCAACAACAACAACAACAATAGCCAAAGTAAATGAAAATGAATACAAAGGATTAAACTTGATTGCAAGGTTAATAATAAAGCTACAGTAGTCAAAAGAATGTAATGTTGAACAGATAGACATACAACTCAATGGAACAGAATAGAGAATGTAGAAATAGACCCACACATACGTAGTCACGTGATTTTCCATAGAGATTCCAAAGCATGACCTATTCCATCTTGTGCCCCAAAGCTCTGGCTGCATCATAAACCTTCCATTTATCAGAGTGTTATGCCATTGTAATGACATCTTATTATGATAAATAGGTAGAAAGAGATTAAAGTGTTGAGTAAGAACCATTTGTGCTTGCATAATAAGTATTATATATTACCTAAAAGCATTCATATTTTCATTCCTTTTTTTTTTGGGATATCAAGTACAATGTTATCATTCCTCTCTTTAGAAATTAGTTTATTGTAATGCCATGTTTTATGTGCATGGAAAAATCTATCAAAAATCAGTGTAACCTGTGACAGCTGTAACCTGTATAAGGTGGTAACCTGTTAGAGAAGGAAAATTCAAATATTTTGCACTAAAACTCAAATATTTTCCACTAAAAGTGGTAAGACTGCACCTTGTCAAAAGTGGAAAACTTGTGAAACCTGGAAAAGCAAGGCAGTCCGTTGAGTTCTGGCTCTCACAGGTTTCACCATAACATGGTCTTGTTTGGCTTTTTGCAGTTACTATATTTTTCACATATATTGCACCCACA